AGCCCAATGTCTCCCTCTACGGCATCGTGGGCAAATACCTGGTATTCTATTCCTTTGATACCTAGTTTTGTTAAACTCTTTTCCTATGGGGCAATTCCTTTTAAAATGTCCTGTTTGTTCATAATTGTAGCATGTTTTTGGCCTGGCATCTAAAGCCTGTTGTACTGCAGCTGCCAAGACTTGCCCTTGTTCATTAATGTCTCTACATAATTTAATATATGTGTTTAAATCTTCATGTTTCCATGGTCTAATAACCTCTCTGCAGCAATGATTTGCTTGGTCTAAGCCAGTTGTTTTATTAATGGCATTGCTTGTTCTGTATCCCAAAAAATTCTGGCAGCTGTTTGAATAAGCCTATCTACAAATTCAGCGTAAGATTCATTAGCTCTCTGTATTACCTTAGATAGCTCACCTTGTAAATCTCCATGTCCTTGTAACGTCTTCCATGCCCTAACTGTTTCTGCAGCAATTTGTGCATATATAGCAGGATCATATTCAATTTTGTTGCCATTGACCCTCATAAGGTCCTTTTCCTAACAACATATCTAGATTTCTTTGAGGGTAATTGGCTGCTGCATTTTGTGTAGCTGTCTCCTCATTGACAACCTTCCATAACAAATATTGTCCTCCATTTAGCACAGATTTACACATGCTAGCCCAATCTGCTGGCGTCATGTCCAAGTTGGTAATGGATACGACCATGCTTGTTGAAGGGTGCTTGGGGACCATAGGTTGTTACAGCCTCCTTTAACTGCGTCACTGTTTTGAAATCTAAAGCACGGAGAATTCGCTGGCCTCCTGCCTGCTCAAGTACAGAGTATGCTAATCTTTGAGGTCCTGTCTCAGGATCCCATTTATCAACTACGGGGGTTGAGGGCCACTCAGCTGTCTCCATAGGTGGAGCTGTTGGTTGAATTACGCCTTCTGGTGATAGAACGGAGTTAGTAGCAGCCTCCTGTTGTAGCTTTTTTCCTAATAGCCCTTTTTCTTTAAATTTTCTTCCTCTGTCTGACTACCTGGAGAGACCTTCTCTTTTGCTTGATCTAAAATGTCTTTCTCCATGGTCTGAACCTCTAACAATTTACTTAACACTCTTTTGGTTTGTTTTTTACTAATTTCTAATCTACTATAAAGATAACGCAACCCAATAAGATAACACAAAACAAAACCGAAACTGAATGAAACAAAAAAGGAATAAAAAATCGTTGTATCAATTTTCTTTTCCTCAGGGCTGACAAACCTCAAACCTTGAGCCAACTATTTTTCCCAGTTTGCCTGAGAAAGTTCTAGGGATAAGCAGCTTGAAACAAAAAACAAAAAAAAAAAAAATCAAAACAAGAACACATTGGTTTTTGAAATGGTCACCCATTCTCTCGCCTTCCCTCAGGGGCAAGTAATTTCACTTACCTCTAAGCTTCAGACTTTCCCCGCACGGGCCACCAAATGCCGCAGTCTGGCTGGGCACAAAATAACCAGGCCACCACACAGCCTTGTAGATTCAAACAGCAATTCTTTATTCCCGAACTCTCACTGGCACTCTACACACACGTTCTGGGAAAAATTTCCCCTCCACTGGGCTCTGCATTCCAAATACTGTCTGAATCCCAGGAGAACTCAACGGGAACTTGAGGAACGGGTGCCTGAGGAAGCAGGATACGCCCTATTCCCAGCAGGATCCACCATAAACCCAGATCCACCCTAAACCCGGATCCGCCCTAATCCCTGAGCAAGGTCACCTTTCAAATCAAAATTCTCAAACATTCATGCAATGTCACTGCAAATGACCTGGGTCCAAGGCAAGCCCATTTCCACAATGGAGAGTCCTCCCTCTAAGCAACATTGGGTAGGCTGACAAGGAAATTGCCATGCTTCATTCCTACTTGGCTATGGCTCTCAGCACTGTGTGAACTTTAAACAGGGAGAAAGAGTCCTGCATATCTGCTGTGAATCTAGGGAAACTCAATAGGTCAGTTGAAAGGAACAGCATCAGGAAGACAGAACTGCTGTTTCCTATTAAAAGTTCCCCAATTTCCTGTAGATACTTTGGATATCTCCTGTTATCAATTGTTGATTTTTGACTTTGGTCATTTCTTCTAAAGTGTATGGATATTCAGACGCCTTGACATATGGAAGAGGAAGAGTGGGAGGGTGGAGGGGAAGGAGGGAAACTACTGGGGACTGAAGGGGAGCAAAACAGATTTCCTTCATGTGAGATTGTGTCAAAATGACCCCAACAGGGCTGGGGCTGGGGCTCAGGGGAAGAGCGCTTGCCTGGTATGTGTGAGGCACTGGGCTGGATCCCCAGCACCACACACACAAACAAACAAAAAAAAAACAAGTAAATAGAATACAGGTATTGTGTTCACCTAAAAATAAAATACTTTCAAAAAATAGCCCCAACCATATCTATCACTGCAATGCAATAATAAAAACATTTAAAAACTAGGTTAAAAAAACAATCACTACTTTGGTCTTTTAGAAAATACACTTTTATTGTTTATAGTTTTTGCTGGGCACTCAGTGAGGTTCACTAGGTTTGGAATGCTGCCAGGACAAAGGAAGCCTTTTCCTCCTGGAGAAGAGACACCTGGGCTTGCAAGGTCCTGTTTCCCTTGGTCCACGTCAGCTCTCTCTCTGCCCTCACCTCTTCATGTTCTGTCCACCCTTTGCCTTCTCTCTCATTTTCTCTCACTCCCCATCCTTCTCTATTTCTCTTTCTCCCTCTGTTGACTGCACAGCTTTTCATGCTCCTTTGTAAACACAGGGAAGAGGAATAACATTCTTAAGTGGGTCTGCTCATGTGTTCATGGAAATTGTGTTGAGTGGACTCTCCAGGTTCCCTGTCCACATTCTGTAGGGAAAAGATCATCTCAGCTGTGTTGTCGACACTCACATCCTTGTCAGTGTGATTGGGGCTGAGAGCAATGTCAGAAATCAGGCCTCAAGCCAAGGGTGTATTGTGTGTTCCTGTGTGTGTGTGTGTGTGTTTATGTGCCTCATGGAGGGCTCAGAGAAGGGGTACATGAGCTTATACATTGCAGGGTGAGTCTTAGCAGCTAGAGTTCAGAACTTAACCCTCAGGTCTTAGCAAGGATGGAATCCTTTGCAATTCACAGAATGTGTTTGCAGCATATTTAAGGGGGTAAGAGGTTCAGGGTATGGATTTAGGACTCCCTGTACCTTGTAGCCTCTAATAGCAATGAGGCCAGATCATTCCTCAACATTCTCTGACACCATCTCATCACTCTCCTACTTGATGCTTCTGTGGCCAAGGGCTTTCTTTTAAGCCTTGTTTTTCCAAAACAAACATGTTCCTCAGGAATGACTGTCCCCCAGTGAAGACCACACCACTGAGGGTGCCTTATGGTTCTTCCCTGCTTTCCTTGTGGTCTCTGTTTAGATGCCCCTTTTCCTGCTTGTTTTTCCTGAATTGGTATAAAAGTACAACTACCTCTCTACTCTTTATTTTTCCTCTTAGTACCCATCACCATGGGACATATTAAGTGATTTTAACCATTTTTGCTTATGTTCTTTCCCTCTCTTTGGATAATGGAGACATTTTTAATCTCATACAGATTACTAATACAATGCCTGGAATGGAGTTGGTACTCAATAATTAGTTGTTTCCTTATATTTAATGACTTAATTATACAACATTATTAGTATAACTTTATATTTCCATGCATTTATAAATTGTGTAATAATTGTATAAGTGTAATTAGTTAATCACTTGAAACATTTAACATTTCTCTGTGGTGGAACATTGAATCCTCTGCTCTAGCTATTTTAAAATATGTAATATATTATTGTTAATTATAATTCCCTACAGTGCAGTACAACTCCAGAAGTCATTCCTCTTCTCTAATTCTGTGTTTGCTCACCTTGAGAAGCTTCTATAAATCCCTTTGTCGTCCCCACCACGCTCCTCAGCTTCTGGTGACCATCTTGCTCTGCTGTACTTCTATGACATCAGCTTTTACAGAATCGGCCTATGGATGATGTCATGCAGCTTTAGTGTTCCTGTACCTGGCTTATTTCAGTTCACATAATATCCCCCAGGTTCATCCAGGTTGTCCTCAATGAAAGGATTTAATCTTTTATCAACAGCTGAGTATTATTCCACTGTGAACTATACACATACAAATGGCCAATAGCCATATGAAAAATACTCCATGCCAATTATCAGGGAAATGCTAATCAAGTTGCCATAGAATATCTTATTCCAGTTAGAAGGTCTATTATAAAATGTTCAAAGATAATAAGGGCCAGTGTGTATGTGGAGGAAAAAAACCTCCTTATTCAGAGTTGTTTGGAATGCAAATTAATGAAGTCATTATGGAAAACAATACGGAGATTCTATAAAAATTAAAAGCAGATATCACATGATGCAGCAATCAAAGTATTGGGATATAGTCAGAGGAAATGAAATGCGTGTAGTAGGAGATATCTGTCCTTCCATGTTTACTGATGCACTATTCACTGTAGCAAATTACAGGAACCACCAGATTGCACATCAGGGGTGTTCCTTTTATACTTCTAAAGGCACTATTAATGTTCCCTTTAGAATTCTGAAATACATGACTTCCTATTAAAACCGTGAGTGTAAAAGTGGAATTCATCAACAGAGATGGCACAGCATCTTTTAGGGGGACACGACACATGCACGTTCTGTAGAAACTAATTATATTCTTTCCATTTTTTTTTCTTTTTGTTTATTGTGAGGCTAATGATGGTATCATTGGCCTTGCACATGTTAGACAAGCACTCCTCCACTGAGCTACACACCCATTCCTAAAATTAATCTCTTTACAGCAAGATATGTATTGTCTAACTTCAATGATGTAATACCTGTCTATGGGAAATTACTTATGCTCTTTTTCTAATTTCTGGTAGTCACATGCATTCGGAATCAGGGAATGATACTCACCTTTTAATTCCTTCTTCTGGGACTTGCAGAGGACCCAGAACTGCAGCCTCTCCTCTTTGGCCTTTTCCTGTCCATGTACCTGGTCACTGTGCTGGGGAACCTGCTCATCAGCCAGGCTGTCATCTCAGACTTTCACCTGCACACGCCCATGTACTTCTTCCTCTCCAACCTATCATTTGTGGACATCTGCTTCACCTCCACCACCATCCCCAAGATGCTGGTGAACATCCAGACACAGAGCAAGGTCATGACCTATGCAGCCTGCATCACCCAGATGCACTTTTTTGTACTCTTTGTTGGGTTGGATGTCTTCCTTTTGACTGTGATGGCCTATGATCGGTTTGTGGCCATCTGTCACCCCCTGAACTACATGGTCATCATGAAACACAGGCTCTGTGGATTGCTAGTTCTGGTGTCCTGGGTTGTGAGTTTTTTACATGCATTGTTACAAAGCTTAATGGTGTTGTGGCTGTCCTTTTGCACAGACTTGGAAATTCCACACTTTTTCTGTGAACTTAACCAGGTGGTTCAGCGTGCCTGCTCTGACACCTTTCTCAATGAGGTGGTGATATAGTTTGCTGCTCTATATCTGGCTGGTGGCCCCATCGCTGGCATCCTTTACTCTTACTGTAGGATAGTGTCCTCCATCTGTGCAATCTCATCAGCTCAGGGCAAGAACAAAGCCTTCTCCACTTCTGCGTCTCACCTCTCTGTGTCTCCTTATTTTATGGCACAAGCCTGGGTGTGTCCCTCAGTTCTGCTGTGACCCAAAACTCACACTCCATTGCAACAGCTTCTGTGATGTACACTGTGGTTACCCCCATGCTGAACCCCTTCATCTACAGTCTGAGGAACAAGGACCTCAAGAGTGCTCTGAGAAGAATCTGAGAGAGAAAGATAAAAGTGCCAATTGTATTGAGACTGAATAAGTGCCCCTGATTGCAGAGCTCAGAGCCTCCAATTCAGAATCTGAGATTCTTTATCAGATTCTGGAAGCAGAACTTGCTCCTTCTCCTTTATTCTTGCATTTCCATTTCTTTGATTTTGACTTCTGCATACAATTTCACTGAATCATTATTTTTTGCACATTCTGATCTCTATGAAATTCAATCCTTTTCTTTGTCATTTCTGAACTTTCTCATAATATTCCCATCTTTGGATGAGAAATTCTTGAGAATTCTCATGTGTTCCATGAGATATAATTTTAGAAATAAATAAGTAAATATCATGACATATGTCATGGTATTTACTTATTTATTTTACTAAAATAGTCATGATTTATATTCATATGTGAAAATATTTATCAAATAAGGCTGTTTTCATAATTTTATTGTTGAGGCAAATCTGAGAAAAAAAATATTTTTAGTACTATGGATTGAACCCAAGGGTGCTTAACCACTGAGCCATATCCATAGACATTTCTGACTTTTATTTGAGATAGTGACTTGCTAAGTTGTTTAGGGCCTCACTAAATTTTTGTGGATGACTTTAAACTTTGATCCTCCTGACTCAGCCTCCTGAGTCACTGGGATTAGAAGCATGCACCACCATCCCTGACAGAGAATAAATCTTCAATTGTGTATTCATGTTTTTTCCTGTATTACTTCCAGAATTTCCAATCTTCATAAGGTAGCCTTTAGCACACCATGGTGTTAGCTGGTAATTAGGTCTTATTCTCAACTTTTTGGATCTTGTTTATTTTTCAGCATAGTGTCCACAGTGCCTAACATAGACATGGACAAAATAGGTTCCCAGAGTTATCTACTTTGCTTTTTTGACAGGCACATATTTCTATGCACTAGACAACATTTTTGAAATGATAGAAATATATTAATGGTTAATAGATTAACGATTCAAAGGTCTAGACTCTAGATTATTTGTTCAAAGGTCCAGGTTCTGGGCATAGAGGGGAGTAGATGGGGCTGTAACAGGGCAAAACTTGGGACACATGACTGATGGGAGCTATTCTGTATTTTATTTTGAATATCATAAATTATTGTAAATGTTAGGTTCAGCATGACATTTCCACACCTGCCCACAGGGTGCACTGATCAAATCCAGCCTCCCTTATCCACCCTCTCCAACCCCTTCCCAACATCTAGTAATCTCTACCCTATGTTCAGGGTGACATTTTACTTTTTTTTTAAACCTCCACTTGAGACATCATGAAGTACTTGTCTTTCAGTATCTGCCTTCTTCACTGAGCACAATATCCTCCAGGTGCATCCACATTGCCCCAAATAACAGGATTTCTTTTTTACATATGGCTGAATATGTTTAGGTTGTATATATGCCACGTTTCTTTCCTCCTCTCATCAGGTGATGGGCACTTGGGCAACTTCATAGTGTAGCTATTATGAATGATGCTACAGTAAACATGGCCATGGACAATTCTCTTTGCTGTGATTTCATTTCCTTCTTATCAGTGTAAATACCTGGCTGTGATATTTTGCTCAGTGTTACCATGGTAGAAACTCACGAAGGGGGCTTTGGATTTCTCCCTGTCAGTTTTTACTACTGCCCATTAATCTACAATTTGCTCCAATTAAAAGTTCCATTAAAATTATAAATAATAAGTGATTGACATCTGAGGAAGCCATTTATAAACTGTTCACATTTTGATGTGTTTCCCTTTCCTCTTGAACCTGTGATTGCTGTTCACTTTCTCCCATGTAACTGTAAGCTGTCACTCCTGTCATGGTGCATCCTGTGCTTAAAATTACACTGTGTATTTCTTCAATCAAGAGCAGGTAAATGAAAGAGAACACCGACCTGTTGATAATGTGCTGTGGCTTTCTGTCAATCCAGATATAAAACGTACAGAAGACTGTGGTGAAGTTTGCTTTCTGATTGGGGTATAAATGTTGGATATCAAAATAAACAGATTTGAGACAATAAAGAAATGTTGGCTTCTGATTTTCATTGCCCTCACTCTCTACTGTGTAGGTACTAGGGGAGACGGTACAGATGGAAGTGTGATTTACACTGTGGCTTTTACTACTTAAGAACCTCTCCTACTCCCTCCCTTCTGCACACACATGGGAAGCCCACACTGTTCCGAGATCTTGCCAGAGTCCTGAGTTCCTCTGTTCAGGCAACCTCATCAATAACATAGCCGGGTATTTAGTTTCTATCAAAGTCATACTCACATCTGAAATCAAGAACCATCATTTAGTCCCTCATTATAAAAATGTATGTTCATTACCAGCATGAACTTTCAGGTATTGTCAGCAAAGTGTGATGAGTGCAGGAGGTGCTGTCTTATGGTTTTGCATTTCAAAAAACACAGCTCACTCTTCCGTTAAAGAGGGACAGAGAAAACTTCTGGAGATGCCAAAGACTGTGTCCCCAATGTGAGTCAGTGTTTTGAGGACAGAGATAAATAACCAGGGAAGGTTTCTTAGCTTTCAACATGGTAAGAAAAGTGGAGCACAAAGGGTGGATGTTGTGATGGGTGGTGGGATATAGGGAAGGCGAGGCTCATGGATTGGTGGTAAAAAGGGGCAGATTAATAGCACTCTGATCTCAGGGGATCTATGCAAACTCTTCCTTTCTTGATTATAGACCAGAGTTCTGCAGGGAAAACAGGTGCCTAGAGGTTGCAGTATAAAGAAGGACATGTGCCTAATAAGCAGATAGGGAAAGCTGTGGGCTGTGATTGCTCCTGCTCTCCCTGAGTGTACACCCTGGGGCATACTTGATTTTTCAGGATCTTGAGATCTGACTTGAGGACCAAAGCTGGACCCATTTCTGTTCTCTTTTCTGGGGTTAGAGCCTCACTCTGCACCTTCAACCTCCAGGGAAGAACTGAAGCCTGTGCATGAAGACCCTCCCATCAGAGATGCTACCCAGGTGAGCCTGGGGACCCAGCAGACACTGCAGGAGAGGACTGAAGAGAATGAAGGCAGGAGCTTCCACCTGAGGTTCCCTGAGAGCCCAATTAGCCTGGCCTGCAGCCCAGAGATGGTGGTGTCCTCAGCTAGCTCAATTTATTAATGGATTTATAAGGTACTAAAAAGGAGAAGTGACCAAGAAATCAGCAACACGGGATCACTGTTGACCATTAACTTATGGTAACAGAATCTCAATTAGAAGAGGGATGAGAGGCACAAGTGGTTCAAATAAAGTAAAATGTAAGTCTGCATACCTTTACAATGAAGGGAAATGGGTAAATCCAGTATTAAGTATAGAGAGATTGCACTGGAGGGAGCTCATTTTTTTTTAAAAAAAGTTATAATGAAACATATTTCAGCACAGTTTCATATTGGTGAGAAAGGTCTGATTTAGGAATTTCTGTAAATAAATTCCTGCAGGAGAAAATAATGATATAGATATTTCATTGAATCCTCTTCCTCTCTGGGTATCCACAAAGAAAATGAACTAACTTAATAAGTGAAGATGCATATGCCAAAGAATTTTTCATTGAAAGTATTTCAGAACCTGTCAAGATGAAGTCAGTGGGATGGCCTTTGACTTCTCTATTTCAAATTTTTAAGACCCTTTGCTTAGGGTTGGAGTGTATTCCTTCTCATTCTATTTTTTTTTAATTCTTTAGATTTTTTTCACTGATTTTGCATGTTGTCCCTACTTTCATTTACATATGCACAGCACATAAGTGGAGATGTATCTGTGGGGAATCTCTGAAAGTCTACAGATTCTAATGTTTTCCAATAGATCAGTGTTTGTTATTGGGCTCCTGGCAGGGTTTTTCATTCTGAGAGATGTGACTCAACACATATTTCTTGACTTTTGAATACTTGCTTTAAATGAAAATGCTGGTGAAAGTTCTTCTGCACTCCTTGCACTAATAAGTCAACTTTTCAACATATTTCCAACTTCTTTTCATGTGTCTCTTAGGTCTCTGTGCCTCTTGATTTTCCACAATACAATACAGGGATTGCTCCTCATCATTTTACTGTAGATCATATTCACCATCCACAAGTATATTGGAGTTTGTTTCTCTTTAAATATGAAAGATGCAATCATAAGTTTTTATTCTACTTCATTATCTTTTATTTCCAAGGCACAAGCAATTTGTTTTTACATTTTCTTGCTAGTACTCTTTTTTGATCATTATGCAATATTCTCATGTATCAAAACAACACAACATGCCCCATAAACATATATAATTATTATGTCTAACAATATAACATGTACAAAAAATTTTAAAAAGCCCCAAACCCAAGAACAATCATGAAATAATGCCACACACACACACAAAACAAGCAAAGTAATGGTAGAACTTAAGGAGATTGAAACACTAATTACCCTGATGTGATCGTCACATAGCACATAGATATATGGAATTATCACATATATACTCAGTGAAGAGGCACAATGATTCTGTAATGATTTTAAAATAGTGAGAAAAGGCCTGCCTTATCTGCAACATAACTAGGGACAAGACAATAGGTCAGGTGAAAGGGGCAGAACTAGGGAAGACAAATCTGCTATTTCATATTCAATGTTCCCCACTTTCCTGTAGGTACCTTGGATATCTCCTCTTGTGAATTGCTGATGTTTGACATTGGTCCTTTTTTTTTTCTTTTGAAGTGTATGGTCTGCCAGGTTCCTTGACACAAGGAAGAGGAACAGTGGGAGGGAGGAGAGGAGGGAAAACGGAGGTACTGGGGACTAAAGTGGAGCAAAGTAGATTCCCTGCATGTGAGATTGTGTCAAAATGACCCCAACAGGGCTGGGGCTAGGACTCAGGGACAGAGCACTTGCCTAGCAGGTGTGGGCACTGGGTTCAATTCTCAGAAAAAATAAGTAAATAAAATACAGGTATTGTGACTATCTACAACTAAAAATATTTAATGACCCCAACATTATGCATCACTGAAAAGCAATAATGAAAACATTTAAAATGTAGATTGAGAAAATGATGT